GCACATCTTACACTGTAACCTAGGACAGTAGTGCCAAGGTGCGCACATCTTACACTGTAACCTAGGACAATAGTGCCAAGGTGTGTTAGTATACTTTAAAATAAATTATTATACCCTCAGAACACAATATACCAGCAACAATACCTATTCTATTAGGAAATTCCTAGAAGCTAAGAAGAATTAGAAGGACTAAATTGTGAGCCTGAAAATGAAGTAGCACTGGTGAAACAGAATAGAAGAAAACGCTTCAGCCATTTTTTTAAAAAAGAAAATGATAGGAAATCAAAATGTGCGATTGAATTAATAGGAAATGACTTTCAAAATGTATGAGGCAAAATTTGTTTTCACTAAGGTCGACATTATCTTTTTGTGTTTTAGAATCAGGTGCTGTTTTCACATTCGGAAAAAGCAGATTTGCAGAAGATATTCCTAGCAAGTTCTGGTTCAAAAATGACAAGCCTGTGCTCATATCATGTGGAGATGAACATACTGCTATTGTTACAGGTCAGTATTGAAAACGGAGTATATGATAAAAGGTAGTATATTTGAGCAGCTTGGAAAGTTAAGGTTTTTATTTGAATCCTGAGTTAATATAGCAAATGAGGTTGTGGAGAGGAGAGAGGACCGTTTTGTGGGAACTATTGGATGCCTTTGAAGTTAGTGTGGGGTCACTGAAGGTTTTCACAAGATGTGCCCAAGAACTGTCATGAGGGAATCTGTAATAACTGAATGTATCATATAGGATTTAAAGTGAGTGTGACTGTTCAGCTTGAATGCTTGTTGTGAATCTGACAGCGTTTAGTAGGCAGTCTTAAATATAGAAGTTTGTATCATGGAAGAAAACAGTATCTGTTGAACACAGTGAACAAGTTCACTAGGAATCTTCCTGAAACAACAAAATAAAGTTGTATCTCTGAAATAAAGATTTGAATTACTGTTAACTGTCAGCTGAAAATAACTCTTGAAAAGAGCAACTCAAAAAACTTCAGAAAATCCTACTAAAATCAGAATTAAGTTGCAAAAGCATTCAAAGAAGCTCAGATGCAATACAGTAAGCAATATTAATTCTTTGAAATGATGGAAACAGTACTCCTTGAAGAATTTCTTCAATGTATTTTATGTGGAAGGGACGACTCTTTTGTTGATAAGCACGTATGTTGATTGTATTGACAATCAACTCCTGATAGAGCAAGACTTTGTTATGAAATTTATATGCGTATTTTCAGGACTTTTTTATTGGAATGTAGTTATTCCTCATCAATGCCCAGTTGGTAATTTCTCATTAAATAATTTCTTGAGGGTTTCCTGCTATGTCCCCAAGCAAAGTTGAAGATGCTGGATTTTTAGAATGGCGTGATAAAAAAAGAGTATAGATTTCATGAACCACAGAACATCTTGAGGTGAAATTATACAAATAATTTTCTAAGCCTGACTGCACAGAAGCTGAATTATTCATTAATAGATTATTTTCAACAGAACTTGACGCTTTTTCTTGGATTAAACCAGTTCTATTAAATTGCATGTTGCGTGAAATTAATCAGAATGTAACGTGGCGCACTTTTCCTTTTGAAATTTTTTTTGATATGTCCTTTCATATGCCCACACCCAATTTGAAATAACACTAGTATAATTCTCAGTTTAGACTAGCCAATTTAAATTGCCTCCTTGAGTTCTACCAGCATTTTTACCCTAACCAGCAATAATCCCCTAATTCCCATGTCCCTGTAACCATGGCCACTTAGATAAAGCTTTTGAAGAAGGCAACTTGCATAGGTTTGCATGCAGCACCATTTCTCTAATATCTCCCCTCCTCCTTGTTACTTTAATATATGCAGCATGTTTCCAAAATGTCTCTGTAGCTGGCCTTTGCTGTTGTAGTGTGCAGATATGTTACCAGGGAAACTTTGAGATAACTAGATCTTTATTTTCTCAAAGCTTTTGAGGAGAAGGAACTGTAGAAGCCTAAGTCCAGAATTTCATTGGTATGAAAAGGTTTTTTTGGGACATTGTAAAGTACAGGCAAAAGTGAGGGTGAAATACTGATCAATGATGAACAAAGGTAGAGAAACTGCGAGAGTTGTACCAAAAAAGTGAAGAAGGGAAACAGAAAACCTTTGTCCCTCGTTTGTTCATCACACCTGTGCACACCCATGTGCACCTCGCATTTCTGCTGTTAGATGGAGTTGGGTGATACAGTGGAATTACAGCCCTTGATGAGTGACATTGAACTTCAGTAACACCTGGAATAAAAGCTCCAGAAGTGCATGCCAGTAGTGAGTTTACTGAGAAGGATACAGACCTTGTGGGAAACCAGGAGCTTCTTGAAATCCAGCTGAGTCTGACCTGGAAGAGATAAAAGACAAACGTCACTGAGGAAGGAAGAGTATCTCAAGCAGGTGTGTGTTAATGCATGCTTCATTTTATTTTCAGTCTTTATTTACAGATCACAAAATTCTCCCCTCCCTTTTTTTCCACCCCCTGGAAGACATAGTGGGACTTATGTACGTAGGGGACAGGGGAATATGAGGTAGATTCAAATCTAATAGAAATACACCAGTTTTACAGTAATATATCTCAACAATCATGAGTAAAACAATCACCCAAACTGAAACAAAACATTCCTTAAAGCTGGTTTTGGGCAGGAGAGACAGGTACATCCTGGGGTGTGTTAGAAGGGGTGTGGTCAGTAGGTGGAGAGAGGTTCTCCTCCCCCTCTACTCTGCCCTGGTGAGACCCCATCTGGAATATTGTGTCCAGTTCTGGGCCCCTCAGTTCAAGAAGGACAGGGAACGGCTTGAAAGAGTCCAGCGCAGAGCCACAGAGATGATTGAGGGGGTGGAACACCTCCCTTCTGATGAAAGGCTGAGGGAGCTGGGTGTCTTTAGCTTGGAGAAGAGGAGACTGAGGGGTGACCTCATCAAAGTCAATAAATACGTAAAGGACGAGTGTCAGGAGGATGGAGCCAGGCTCTTCTTGGTGATGGCCAGTGACAGGACAAGGGACAACAGGTGCAAGCTGGAGCACAGGAGGTTCCACATTAACATAAGGAAAAACTTTTTCACTGTGAGGGTGACAGAGCCCTGGAACAGGCTGTCCAGAGAGGTTGCGGAGTCTCCTTCTCTGGAGACATTCAAAACCCGCCTGGACGCGTTCCTGTGTGATCTACTGTAGGTGGTCCTGCTCTGGCAGGGGGGTTGGACTAGATGATCTTTCGAGGTCCCTTCTAACCCCTGACATCCTGTGATTCTGTGACTCTGTGGCTGCATGCAAATGAAGAAAATGTACACGAACTAATATTTAGCATTCAAACAAAATATTCAGAAATGTTCAAATACTTCCTTCGTCTAATCCAGCATCAATATTGCCATATGACTTTTAGGAAGAAAAGTGTAAAGTAAATATATAACTCTCTGTTCTTTGGCTTTCTAGGTCAGGAGTTAGAGTCCAAAATTTTATTTACATACTGTGGCTGTATGTTGGAATAGAAAGGACGAGTGATAGTTACTCGCTGACTTTGAGTTGGCTTGCTGAGCTAGTCGGAGAAAGATTTTCTTCTCCAGTTTTGGAGTTTGGGATTGAAATTTGTGTTTACTCATTTGCTCTCTACCTTTAGCACATTCTTCATTAAAATATTGAAGAAGGAATTTTTTTAAGCAGTTATCTTCTTTAGTTCTTTAATGCAGTCAAGAGCAGTATATCTTCCAGCATCACTTGTAATATGTTTGATAATGTTTCTTGCCTTGTTTCTATATTTTTTGGCCCAAAAATACTGACAGTCCACTCCCTGCATCTTCTTTAACTGCAGGTTTTGGAAAGCAATTTATTTATGCTATTGAGAGCTGGTGTGGAGTAAGTGATGTTACATGTATTTTTAAGAATCTCCTCCCAATACCTTTCTATTAATTTTCATTTCTATGAAACTATTAAAGTAAACAGCTGTCTTATTGTTTATTTGTGTTGATTAGAGTATTCTAGGCTGCTTGCCCACATTTAATGAAAGATACTGATCCTGTTCACAAGGGGGAAAGTGATCATGATGGAAGAGAAATTTTCTAAACTCAGAGCTCTGGAGAGAATTGAAGCCCCTACTGCAAGAGGGTAGAAGGAAACAAAGAAGTATCAAGTGTAACAGTAGGAGTGAAGAGGTGCCTGTGGAACCACAACAAGCTAGTATGCTCATAATTCCGAGTTTTGTAAGGCATTAAACATTTAACAATTTACACCAGAGAGACCTTGGAATCTCTCCAGGTCTTTGGACACGAGATTCCTTCTGTCCTTTCTGCCTGTCCACAGGCCATCAGAACATGGCACAGTATCTTTTGCATCAACTGCAAGGGGAGAATGAGGAAGATTAGTACACGTTTGTGTTGATCTTTGATACGTGTAGGGGCAAGCAACATAATGTGCTGGTTTTGTTTGTGTGAGGCTAAATTTCCTAAGTGTGACTGTTCTCATTGCTCAATAAAACTTTTATTTTGAGAATATTGTGACTTGCCTAACAAAAGTGATGACATTCGCATTTTTGTGAGATGTATTTGAATTGTATATGAATTTTAAATGAACTGTTAACATAGTTTATGCATAAATAAATAATAAAAAAGCAGCATGCCTGCATATGATACTCTGTCCAAAATACTACCTTTTATGTTTTCTTCAGATATAGCTTCTCCATAGAATCTTGTCATAAATGCTCAAAGTCTGTACATTGTCTCCCCATTTTATTTCTCTCCCACACTAATATAATTTAGAAAGCAAGGCGGGGGAGGGGAGGGGGGGGAGACGAGGCGTGGAATATGTAAAACATACCTTTAAACATAGGTGATAGGAATACTTGGCTGCCTGCTGTTATCATGAAGCAAGTTGAGGATTTCAGATGGTGTTTCCCAGCTGCTGAATGAAGCCTTTAGTGGTGCTTCATGAACCAGGGGAGCACACGATAGATGGTGTTCTCAGGAGTCACAGTTGTGGTAGCAGCTACTCCGATGAGAATTGTACTGGTTAGGAGACACTCTTCCTGAAGTCTGTCACAGAACCTCTGTTCCTCTTGTGGCTTCCCTAACAGACCTGAATTAATGTTAGTGAAACATCTGGTGGAGGAAAACCAATGCGTGTATGCTATGGAGAAATAATCCAGTCTTGCATTAGGATGAAGGTGGAGACTGGTGTTGGAAGTATCTTTTCATCACCAAACCAGTGACAGTAGTTCCCTTCTTTATATCCTGTTGTTTCTCTTCTGCTGCCCACAGTCATAATCTTACTGTGGCGGACCTGTCTTCTGCCAGCCATTCCAGATGGAAGATGGCCACAATCTCCATATGTCAGCACCAAAGTGGAAGCAAAAGAAAAAAAAAAAAAGAAAAGCGCAATCTGAGTTTGCGAAGTTTTGAAATATGATACTTGCCCATTTGTCTGCTGTTGAGTTAGTTCTGGAGATGTCTCAGTATGCAATTATGAAAACAGGGCCTTTTGCATGCAAAATTCTGTCATGCTTCCTGGCCAGCTTAGATTGCATCATGTCTGTTCCAAAACCTAATTTGCTGTACAGACCCAGAAATGTTGCTTCATTACAGGCATTTGTTTAGGTTCCTTTATAGTGTGTAACGGTTTTCTTTCACTGTCTGAATTACCTCCTTCCCAGTTTTCTTATTTTCTGTTACACTGCTAAGTGTTGGAAGCCTGAAATTAAAAACTGCTGTCATTCAGTGGTAAAAGAATGTAAAAAAATTCCTCTCATCTGTTAAGCTCCTTGATTTACAAAGCAATGCCTGAGAATTTAAAGACTGGTATAAGAAACAGCAGATTATGGGATGAAAATCGTGACCTGTTGGAATTTTGAATAGATAAAAGAGAATGTGCTTAAATTGAATTTCAGCAGCTTGGCATCATACTCTCACAGAGGTATGACTGTCTTATAAAGGCACTTGAAAAGTATAAACCAAGAATACAAGGAAGCATCTACCAATATTGGATGCCATTTGCTAATAAAAATTCTTTCTGTTAAGGTGCCTTTTGCTGTCTGTGACAGACAGCTTTGCATGTGTTTTGACGTGATTGCATTATCAAAATCGGGATGGTGATGTAGATGCTATTAGTAAAACACACTGAGCATAGACTTGACCTCAGACTTTCTTGGAAAGTCATAATATTGATACATAGCCCCATGTTCCAAAAATTAGCAAATCTAACAATTTAGTTGGGAGTTTAGATACTAGTTATTGGTAGTTGTTGGTGTTGTTTTTTTTAAAAAAATTGTCTTTAAGAAAATAAATGGATTTTTTTAAGAGTAAGTATTTTTGTTATATTTTAAACATTTTAATATAATATTTCAAAGTCTCTGTAAATCACATTCGGAACCTTCACTGGAAAACTAAGTGGATGAAGGCATACACTACTGAAGGCATACACTACTACAGCCATAATATTTTGGCATTGTGATGTGGAATTGCTGTTGTGCATTGCAGTCATGTGTGATAATTGTTGATGGCTAAGGTGACAAAGGTTATTTATGTGACAGCCTTGTGATGGAGTCTAACTCACAAAGCTCTGAATCTTCATCAAAAGTAAACAAACTTTTTAATAGTTGTAAAAGGTGAATTGACAAATCAGTTTTTATTGTTTTGCGAAGATTTCTGATGGAACAAGGGTTTTATCTTTGGGTGTGAACTTCACAGCTTTACAAAAGGTAATAGTTTAAAAAAATGAAATGAATTCACTTTAAGGTGTTGTCAGTAGTCAGTTTTAGATGTCTAATTTGCATGCCTGATGACAAAAGTTTCATCTGTTCATATACCATCCTCTTGAAAAAACACTGGTTATTTGGAATTACAACAGTTCTTTGTTTGTAATGGTCAAACCTCCAAGTTCAATGGCACGTCATACCAGTTTCTGAAATACTGTTCTAGTATTGCTCCTGTTGAAGATCTGTAATCTAACATTTGCATTTCTGTTTACAGAACTCCCTGACTGCATGGTGGGTTTGTGCGTTCCTTCTTTATATGCAGAGTAACAAACTAATACGATTTGTGAACACACCTGAAAATTTATCAGAAGCTATGTTCTGTAGAAATGCAAATTTGTAAATCACTTTAAGATAAGACATTTAGCAGTAAAAGAAATCGCCCGCCCCAAACGATAAAATAAGATTAATATTACAAATTTGTGTTTGCATTAATTATACAGCTGCATTATTCATTCCTGTCTTTGGGGTAAAAGTTATGGATGCTTAGATACTTTAGAAGTGCTGTTATTTTAGAAGTAGGCCTATAGATACTGTGGTTTCTGAACTGTAGGGTCTGTACAAGAGTACAACATTTTATTTTCTGAACAGCACTTTATCTGTGCTGTAGTTAAAGGAAAGGATGTTATTCTGGTTTTTGTCCCCCCTTCTGGCTGGAGATTTCTTACTTAAAGAATGCAATTACTACTTTTGTACTGAAAAATCACAAGGACATTAACTATTGTTTACACTTAAGTATAGAATAGCCTAACCTTACATTAAAAAGGAATAGTAAATAGCATAGTGTGTGAATGACTATCTTGTCTTGAATGAGGTATTCAAACACTTGTCTGGATTCTGACTGCATTTTTTTTCAGGGAATGGTAAACTATACATGTTCGGCAGTAACAACTGGGGCCAATTAGGACTAGGATCAAAGAACACTGTCAGCAAACCAACATGTGTTAAAGGTTTGTTTTGGGGTTTTTTTGGTGTCTTTTTTAAAGTAGACCCTTGTGAAAAGGTACTTTATAAGATGCAGTTCCAAAGTAACTGATTCTGCCACCTTTACTCATCATGTGTGGCGTATTAGTGCACAAGCTTGTAAAGGTAGCTTGAAAGGATCCCTGATTGATTTTTCCATCAGTTCCAAATTCTGCGTCCTTTTGCGTCTGAAGATTACTTCAGATACATAGAATCCTGTCTTTTTTGAGGGCTCTCATTTTGTGTAATATTTGCCTTAACTGACAAACACATCTTTGTGGTGACTCCAAAGACATTAATCAGATGCTTGGTCTCTGCAGTCTTGTCTATGCCTTAGAAATCAGAGTTCCAACAGCATCGTGTAACCTTTGTATCACTTTTGTCTTAGCACCTTTATAACTGAAAAAATCTATCAGGAACTTAATCTTTAAGTACTGCTACATTTTTAGCAAGTATATGCCCAAGGGGGCATAAATATTAATGTATTTCTATGAAGCAGTAAAATAAATGGCCATATTCTTTCCTATGTTGTAAAATATATTTTCATTGCACTGTTACCTTCTTGATCTTTCCCAGCCAGTTTTATCTCGTCAATACTTTTTCCCTATCCCCTTACTTATGTCAAGTCAGATCTATCCCTTTAACACATTCTTTTCACCATTAAATGTTTATGCTCATCCTTTCTGCCAGCAGATCGATCTGTTAGCTTGTTGTTAAAAACAAATTATCCTGCTTGTGCAAACTCTTTTCTTCCTGATTTAGTTTATTCTACTGTCCTTTATCTGCTCCTCTCTCTGTTTCACTTCAGAGGGAGAATGCAGGTTCACATCTTCTGTCAGCCATGTGAGTGATTGATTCTTACCTTGGCGTAAATGGATTGAGTGTCAAGCTTTCAGTCATCACTTGGCTTCGGGAATGGGGTTGCAAGGACACGTTTCAGTTTCTGCATGGGGCCAAATGGTTGTGGCTGCATGTTTTCTGAGAAAATATCTTCTGGGATTTGACTAGAGACTAATGAAATTGGTTACAAAAATTTGCCAGCAACATTTTAAATATAGCATAGCTCATCAAATACAGTTGATTAGTCAAAGTGGGAGGAAGATTAGGGAGCACAGACTTCTGAAGAGCTGATTAAGATTGTCTCTGAAGTTAGAGGCAGAGTTTTGGGATATAAAGCAACATATTGAGATTGTAGGAAGAAGCCAACATTGGAAGTGTTATGGTTCTAGCCTGATCGCAGTAGTAAGATAGGATAGGCAGGAACCTGAATTTGGACAACGGATGTTTGTGTCTGTGTGTTAGACTAGAGACAGTTCATGTTTAAGTAGATAGACTTACTCAGTGACTTGGTAGAAGGGACTTTAATCTGAATGTTATGGAGCTGATGAAAGTTTATTTGGAAGGACTGAAAAAGGGTTTGTGAAAGAGATGATGGTTGTTGGCTTTGTCATGGCCTAATGTAGTGGAAAAGCAATCAAAGATATATTATCTAAAACTGATGCTGTTTTAAGAGCATTGTATAGGGCTCATGGACATGGCTGAAAGAAGGTAATTGTTGGCAACAATCAGTAATTGGAGAGAGGCTGGAAAAATCGGTGAGATTTTTTTTCCTCTGTTTCTGAAATGGGGTGCATTTGTCATGGAAGAAAGAGCACCTCTGCATCTCTCTTTCATACCAAAATAACTCTTGACTTCTCTCTCATACATTCCCATGTGACCAGACTGTAAAGAAGTACATGCGGTGTGTGGGTAGTAATTGAGCTGAAATTGAGACAGGATAGTATATGCAAAAATTTTAGGCACTAGTCGAGATAGGACTGTCCTTAGCAATTGAGTTTAGTGATCAGTAAGAGGGCGGTGCAGAGCAAAAGTCTAGCAAAAAAGGTAGTTGTGCATAGTGAAGGAAGATAGGGATGATGAAACAAAGGAACCCTATGATTCTAAAGATTTAAGATAGTGGGAAAAGCGTAAGAGGGAGTTGAGAATAATACTGTTGATGAAAACTGAAGACAGCTTTAAGCATGCATGTTGTCCTGCGACTTGATATATTCTTTGAGACATATCCCATAAATGGTAAATTCTAGGGAATATGATACTGGGATGCAGTAGCCATCATCAAGTTAACCTGAGCGTCAGCTATAAGTTTTTAAGGTCTATATCTGTTTTCTTGTCTTGGGGGAATCCTGATTTAATAAGTTATATGCTAGGCTGAGATGAGCAATGAATCTTGTAATCATTCTGTTGGTAAAAAATATGAAAAAAATTGGAGCTCCCTCTAGAGCATAGAACATTTTGTTGTTGAACCAACTATCAGCTTGTTTGTAACTTTTCCCCCCCTTTGGCTTTAATTCATAGCTTTAAAACCAGAAAAAGCAAAACTTGCTGTTTGTGGAAGAAACCACACTTTAGTTTACACAGGTATGTAACCTATATTATCTACATATTAAAGATAGATTTCTTCCTTTGCTTTCATGCAAAATTACATTAAAAACCCCAGGAGTATTGAGAAATGAAAAATAAATGAATAGGGGACTGCTAAAACTTGGGGTTTTGATATCTAGTTCTTTGAATGCTTGATTTATTCTGAGCAAGTGCATTTATAAAATAATGTTATATAGGACTTTGCTAGCAGTAGCCAGGTGAAAAAATTTCTTGCTGGCATTTGAGGTGTGGTTAACAATTAGCAATATTTCATTTAAAGCCTGTAAAGGTATATTAGTATTTTATATATATATCTTTACTCAAATTTACCTTTGGCAAGTAATTCATCTTTATTAGTGTGAAGTTATATATTTGAGTAAATATAGAGGAACTGAATGTTTTCAAGTCTTCACATTTTGTTGCATTTTGGTTAGACAAGATAGTCTGCTATTTCAATGACAACTGGTTTTATTAAGCTATAAATAAATAAACTGTAAATTTAAACTGAAAAATAAATTTTTAGAGAGACAGTATACAGAGAATTGATGCAAATTCTTGTCATGCTTCTAAAATTTATGTAATGGAATAGCCATCTTTGTGGTTGCAATCCTGTAGCTTTCAGTAATGTTATAAATAGGATTGTTTGTTTCTCAGGAGGTTTATATATGTGGAGACCCTGAGCACTGTAAATAAGACTATTAGAATAAACGAGAACATTTTAATAATGGCTGAGTATGCAAGACTGCACAGGGTAAATAGTCACTTTTAGTGTACATGCTGGTTAGATAATTTGTGGCCATTTATATAGCAAGGACTATTTATAAATTGTACGTCAGTTACTTATCACATTTGTGTCTGGATTCCTATTATTAATGGGCCTTATCTTTTTCATCATAGATGAGCACTTTAGATGTGAAACATACTAAAATGAAAAATATACATCTTAAAGGTCTCGAGTTGAAGATACCAATCATCAGCTTTAACTTCAATTTTAAGATTCTAAAACAAAATAAAGACCTAGTTAATTAAATTGAAAGTGATTTAAATATTAAAGTGAGTAAAATATTTCTAATAAAAACCTAAGCAAAAATATATTTCATTCATAGTACTCAAAACTGTCAAGTTATGCATTTCTTTAATTTACGTACTAATACAACTTCTGTTTTCTTGCCTGTGGCATGATTCACCGTTTTCCTCCTGCTTTATCTTAAAATACACAATATATACAAATATATAATAATTTTTCTGTCTGCCAGGGCTACCAGTAGTAATTTTCTCAGAACTCTTGCAGAACTTCAAATTATACTTGCTTTTTAAAGCAGTCTCCAGAATGGTGGGAAATGCAGTCAGTCTAAGTACATGTAAGGTCTTCAGAAAGTTCTGATTGAAGTGTGTGCAGGAAAGCCTCCTTGCTAGCTACAACAGAAGCTGCTAATGTCAACTCGAGGGTATTTCAGGGCAGTAAACCCTAACTTTTCTGAAATGTTTTTCCATCAAAAATTAGATTACTTGCTCCAGTTTCTGTGACTTTTTACCACTTATGAGAATGTCTTCATTCTGTCTATTACATGTGCTTTTCTGTATGCAGAAAAAGGAAATGTGTATGCTGCTGGAGGTAACAGTGAAGGACAGTTGGGATTAGGTGACACAGAGGAAAGGACGACATTTCATTTAATTAGTTTTTTTACCAACCAGCACAAGATCAAACAGCTAGCAGCTGGATCATACACCTCAGCAGCAGTAACTGGTAAGAGCAACCACTAATAAAATCTATTTATGTGTGTCCAGCCTGGTGATCCAGGGAAACATTTAT